TTATCTACATCATAAGTGACGTGATAGTGGATTTGGTGATATATCAGTGATTTGATTTCTTCTGTTTACCTTATTTTTTTATAATTATAGATATGTGCATTAGTTTGTGAGTATTTGATGTAAATTCCATTGATACTTCAAAAAAGTGAAATGACTATGTGTCTGTGTCCAATGCAGAAAAACATAGGCTTCAATATATGTAATGTCTGTAGATTTGCCATCTGATCCTTTAAGTGTTTGAATTTGGGTGTGTTTTGACATTCAAAAGTTATTCTATATTTTTCAGATAAATTATCTACACATTACAATTACTTTATTTATTTCGCCACAAGATGACCATGTCAGTCACCTACTTGTTGCATGGCCAGTCTAGAGTGTCATAATTCATTGGCGTGATATGTATTGTTTTTTTAACTATACTTGTAAAATAGAATTGTCTTGATCGAGGGACCCGGCTTATCGCCCAAAGCATGTATAAACATTTTCATCAGTTATTAGTAAACGATACAGGACTCTGAATTTCTATATACATGCTACACCTACCGCTCAGTGACCGAAGTTAACCGCACTGTTTCATTGATCTCATCATGAGTGCACTGTGAGCTTGTGGTCACATGACACACAGAAAAAAATTGTAATACAGTTAAGGGTCTGTTATCCAACGCATACCAAATTTCACTACTTAGTTTACATGAAAAAGCCAATCACTGCATACAGGCACGCGACTGACGTCAAAGATGTTTACAAGTAGAAGTAAAATAAAACTTTTAACAGTAATATATATATCAAAACAGCACAAAATACTCACTGTCGATACTGCGACCCTGGATACAGAACTGTCTGGGCTTAGTCAATAGCCACAAAAAGGGGTAAACCATTATTTAGTGTAGGTAGATAAGCGCGTGTTTTTGTTTGTTGATACGGGCTCAGTCGATTCCACAGTTAACAGCGTGATGCATGTACAAAGAGCAATAGTATTTACTAACTAATGTGAGCATATGCCAGTGCTAAAATTGTTACAGATTTTGTTCATAGTGGACAATTAATGGTATGAACGTGGCAAGACGAATTAAAGCGTCCGGTCTAGGTATTATTCATGACTACATGTGAATGCATGTTCAAACCTCGAAAAAAATTGTCTGTACATGAATCGTAAGACATTGTCATACACTGAATTAAGAGACACTAATTATGATTAGAGGTACATGTTTGATAAAATCATGTGCTTGAACTTTTATTTATATAAGCAACAGTTTGCAGAAGTATGTCCGTGAAATGTTTTCGGATCTATGATATAACCTACTATGCATTATTTGTGTTAAAAATGATTATTTTTGCCTCATACAAAAACGTTATGAATAGATAATGATTTACATGAATGAAAATGACAATGTAACATTATAAATTGGTATTGACAAACAGCAATGCAAATCATTGGCTAATGGTAACACACGAAGGGTCAATGACCAGCATTTATCCTACACCGAGAACAAAGGCGTGATGAATTTACAACCTGATTTACTTTTAGTAAACACACAATGATGGTATCGAAGTTTTTTGCAACAGTAATGTGATTGGTTAGCAGAGATTTGCATAATAATTAGTATTTAAGCTCAATGAAACCTCTGCGCCCTCTCCCTCACTGATTGCAACTTTGAATGTCCTCGGTCGAAGATAATATTTTATTTTGTTTTTTTATCTATTCAGGGTCTACAAAGCTTTCTTCTTTGATAGATCCCCGGCTTCACCACCACCACAACTGCCTTGGGACGCTACTTGAAAAAACAGACAGAATGCTGCATCTAAATGAAAACATACATTTTTTATCGTAAGATTTGGGTCTCCATGATTTAATATTCTTTTTGAGGTGACAAAGCTAGTCTTATTTTTTTTAATAAATTATCGACAAAGTAGGATTACTTTATTTATTATTATTATTAGTCAACTACTCATTGTATTGCCAATTTAAAGTGCCATAATGCGTTGGCGTTGCTGAGGAATGTTTTGTGGTTTTTTTAATGTGACGCTTTGGTCAATTATTCATCTTATGCGTACTTGTACCCCCTAGTTTCATTCCACTACATGTGTTAATGAGAATAACTCATCACCATTTGTTTTCCCTTAATTATTGTGTGGAGGACGTTTTGAATACGGGGGGAGCCAGATAACCGCGCAGATCAACGGGCACAACAGGAGACATTACCAAGGTAATTATGTTTGTTTTTTTGGGTGATTTGAAGGTATTGAAGTAAATTGCGCCAAGGTCAAACCTCATACTTGTGAAATGCATTTGAATATTGCATTGCATTGTTGGAAATCTATGTTCATCAACACAAATGTTGCATATGCACGAGTCTTGAATGACAAATCGACAGACCTCATTAAATGTTAGCGCCAAGAACCACCATTTTAAATCTTTGAATACAAATATTCATATGTGGTTCAGTGTTTTTCCAGTTATTTACATTCGGTTGTAGGCGATGAACTGTCACTTACCTACACTGACAAGAAAGGTCATGTAGTGACAGTATGTACTATAGGGCTCATACCACTAATTGAATTTCCATAGACGACAATGTTAACATATGACGAGATTGCTATATGAAAATGACGAAGAAATTTGAGTAATCAACCATATGAAAAAAACTAACATGTTGGCTAGCTCAAACTCTTGCAAATCTCAGGTAAACAAGACACACCTACTGTATTTGGATTGCACCAAGAGAAATCTCTGGAAAAACACCAAGATTAGAACATCCAAATACACACAGAATAAACCCACAGGTACACAGCCGCTGAGTAGTAAACAAAAGACCACATGTTGGTCTCACCTCTGACCCAGGTGATTACGCCCTCAAACAGGGAGCACCTGAGAAAAAAATATTTAAAAAATTTCATTGGTTCTTGCTAGGCATTTAATTTGAGCAGCAGCTACGAGCAGCCATTGGTTGATTAGTGGCATGAGACCTATATACATATGCACAACAGCTACATTCCAACTTGACTCGACAATTTAAACGAATTAATTGCTCTGAATACAAATATTCATATGAAGAGTTCAGACTGTCGTTCAGTGTTTTTCCAGATATTTACATTCGGTGGTGTGCGGCGAACTAACACTGACCTATATAATCGACAATTTAAACAAATTATTTAAATTTACAGAAAGGGGTGCCAATTCTAACATTGGAATGTGGACATAAAAGCTAATATAGCGCTCTCTAGCAACGCCGTGGGCATATTCCGCACATCACAGAAGGACTGTGATTGTGTTGTGGTATTTATATGCAATATGCTCCAAGAGCAAAGCACTAGTGTTTGTGGTGAGTAGTAGTAAAATAAAGTAAAACAGTAACATAGAAATAAAGGAGCACACCAATACTCACTGCCAATACTGCGACCCTGGTTACAAAACTATCTGCGGTTTATAAATAGCCACAAACAGGGGAACACCATTATTTAGTGTAGGTAAATATGGGTGTGTTTGTGTTTATTGTTAATACGGGTTCAGTCGATTCCAGAGTAAACAGTTTGACACATGTACAAGCAGAAGAAAAATAGTACTAACTAACTAATGTGAGCATGTTTTGCTCATAATGAGAAACAATGGTATTAACGTGACAAGACGTAATGAAGTGTTTCGATTTAGGTGTTATTGGCGAATGTTCAAACCTCGATAGAATTTGTTCATGAATGAATCGCAATAGACATTTCCACAGGTCGAATTAAAAAACAGTAAGTATGACGATGGGTATCTATTTGATTAAACCATGTGCTTGAGCTGTTACCTTCTTTGGGTAACTATTTGTTGATGTGCAGATTTGCGTCCGTGAGATGTTAATTTGTCGGGTTTATGATAGAAGATGAGGCTTTGAGTTATACGAAAACGTTATGAATAGATAAATATTTACAAGAATGCCAATCACAAAGTAACATTATGAATGGTTGATGACAAACAGCAATGCAAATCATTGGCTAAGGGCATCAGAAACTGGGATCACTTAGTTCGGCTATCACCGTGGAGGAAGGCGAGATGAATTTATAACCTGATTTACTTTTCCTTGACAGTTGGTATACAAAAAATGGTAACCGTGATTGGTTGGCATCGATCAGTTGCGCCAATTTGAGCTATGACAATTAGGAATAAAATCGCCCCATCCTGTCAATACTTGATATAGCTTTGCTTATCTTCTTGCTAAAGATATTCAGTAATGCAATCTGCAATTTGAGTATGCGTCTCTTCTCATGAGTGTAAATGTGAATAAAAGCAGAAAGGCAGAGAAATAAATCTGACTTAAAATAATAGTGCACATAGGATATCGATTCGTATTGATCGTAATGCCATTCAAATGATAGCGTCCATTGGTAGGGGTTTAAATAAATAGACAAACCAAAGCGGTGCCATGCTATACTACACAGCCTACTTTGGCAAAATATCACTGATTCAAATAACACTACAGTTTCCCCGCATAAGATAGCAATATAGTTTTAGACAATAGGAGAGCCTCCCATTCCTTATCCGCGTGAAAAGTAAGTAACGAGTATGGTGATTACTCATTGTCTATATGACTTGTAAAGTTTACACCGCTAAGACGACTAGGGAATATATTTTTTTTTAACTGACATCTTTATTATTAAATACACGAATATTGACCACACCGAGTGCAAATAAGCGAAATTAATATTCGCTTGCGGGGTTAAGCAGAATAGGAAACGGTGTACAAATTACACTTTCCACATCATTGAGCTACTTTAAATTTACTCCTCTTTAGTAGAAGAACGTTTACAGTGGGGTACAAATTGTAGTAAGTCTTTAAATTGACTATCAGATTATTCGAAGTACTGACACAGTGATTTTCCTTTCAAAGGAGATAACAAAATCCATCAAGGAACAAAAGAAATGAGCACTGAACTAAGTGTAGGAGGTTTGCGCATATTTTGCAGTTTTTCTGTTATAGGACAAAAGTACTTATAATGGCAATCCGCTATGCGTGGTGACTTTGACGAGTTATACGGTCACAGTTGATTTATAGATGATTTTTGACAAGAATGAAACCCATTTTACGAATAAGTTTCAATTATTTGACATTTTAATTATCATGGTGGTTTCATTGCTATCTCGTATTTCCGGAAAAAGAACCAGACTTGTATGACAATTAGTATTTAAGATAAGAAAACTGTTGTCGGCGGAACCAATACGCCCACTGTCACTGATTGCAACTTTGGGGTCGAGATGATATTTTACTTTAATTTGTTTATCTATTTTATCTATTTTTATCTATTTGGGGTCTACAAAGCTTTCCAACCATGTAATTGTTTTAGCCTAACGGCGATATATCGGGAATGTATCTAATATGTATATTATGTGATATGTGATTATTTATGTCATTCTGATATTCTCTTACTATAAATTCAGACCTATATATCGTACTTTTTACGATCTCAAGGCACACTGTGGTCGGGGTCCCAGGGATGAGAAAAAATTTTTCTGAAATCACGAGTGTGCAATAAATGGAATACAAAATGTGGTAAGTAGTCGAGTTGTGCTATGTTTAGGTCTGGCAGGCATGGCACCCCTTCACTCTTAACTGAATAAATTATTGAAAACACCAGAATATCGTTTCAATAAATGTTCCACAAGATAGGTTATTCGGTGTTGTATTAAAAAGTAATTAGAAAAATAAAACAAAGTTGATTGCAAACTCAATCCAGTAACACAAATGAAAAAGAAAAACAAGAGCCATAACGGTCGACATAGCTCGCTGTGTTTGTCTTCAAAGTTGACAATGCTGTATTATAAATGTCCCCACAATGTTCTTGCCAAAGCAAAACCATGGTAGTTTATTTGGATACTGCCATGGCAATTACAATTGTTATCATCTTTTGTACAAATCTCATGAGGATCAATCTTGGACCGTACATATCAAGTATAAAAAGCAATTGAGCTGGTAGTTGCTAAGAAGAAGGCGACCCAAAAATGGCAAAAATATAATGAAGAAAACATATTTTCTCGAAATAAACAAATCTGACAGTGGTCCACCCAGGATACCAAGAAGAAAATGTCAATGTCATTGTTCGCGGACTGGTAACAGACACTCACTTTCATAGCTTGCTTACTCTTAATAAAATATCACTTTCAAAAAGTATTTGTGTGCTGAAATTGAATTTGTCTTTCTACGTGCTTCAATTTTAAATTTGAATATTAATTATTTAATTTGTATAACAAGTCATTTCTGAATTTGTCACTAACAGTTTATTTGCCGAATGCAATCAGATCTTCCTCGTCTGCCATTAGAAAGTATTTGTCCCCTTCTTTCTTGCAACACTTATTTTTTAAATGCTCCATAATATCTTTCTTTATTTCTGGTTTGCAAAAACTGCGGAAATCGTAAATTTGTGTCATGCATTCTAGCATGTAACCCCCGTCTTGTGATTGTTCATCGAAGCATTCCGTAACATTCAACAAGCAGCCTCTGGGTACGATTTCCAGTTCGATATCTGGAATTTGACGCTTTAACATATCTTTTACTGTCTGTGAACCGATGAAACCTTGATCTGGGTCATAGTAGTGCTCTCCAATCTTCAGGGTTAGTTTTTCCCATCCACCTAAGAAAATTGGAAGATTGTTATCACACTGGGATACATTCTTTGGCTGAACATATTCTTAGCAAATTGCTAATACCGTGATATATCTGTTATTATTATACATCTGTCACCGTAACCCCATAAGTTACAGCGTGCCGTAATTTGGCATTATTTTACTGGATATTTCCATCCTACCATAATAAGAAATGCAAATACCAAACATAGAATGATTACGCGCGTAAGCGTCCTCTAATAACGAAAACAAACATGGCTGCCACAAGGTTTTGGTCGGAGTCCACACAAAGACGTTCGCTGATTTTGTTCTAAACATTTTGGATTTCGGCATTCCAATGATGTATCCTTGGAAGGGAAAGATGTATAATAATAAGGTTATTACGAGGATAACTCAAGGTTTGTACTCAGACATAAATATGGAACGATTACGCACGTAAGCGTCCTCATCTTTGCCAGTTAAGAACCATTTATTCGGCCGAAGCCTCAACATTAACCCTTGGAAGATTTCACCACGATTTACTGTATGTCGCACGCCCAATAAGAACTCACGAAAGGAACTACACATTACTTTTTAAAATTAAACTGGCGGAATCAAATAAATGGGCTGCTAGCTATTTATCTGAACAAGCTTACTGATCACCAAAAGAAAGAGCTTAGTGCTGTAGCTGAGAAAAATGGCGGGTTTGTTGCAAACACGGTTCCTCGTCTGTGTAGCAACGAAGGCCGTATCGAGCAAGTTTATATGTGTTGGCAGTTTACTAAAACACAGTTTGCACAAATAATTTGACATTCCATTCACACCACAAACAATGTTCTCGTTACGTTGGAATAAGAAATTTTGGAAAGGTGTTAACAAATATAGAGCTTCTGTTCTTGACTCTCGGTGAATCAGCCCAAAGTCTACACGCCGCCATTGTTTAAATCTGTGTTGATCTCCCCGATCTTTATTATACAGCAACTCTGATTGGTGGCGCCAGCTCCTTTGCGCGCCAAATCAATTTAGCTGCAGTGAAATACAGATTTTCCTAACACGATCGCGCACGGGTTCGTGGGCCAGTTATGAATGGCCGGCTTTAATGAAACTGTGCGATTCGGGCGATGAAGCGTCCTCTAATAATACAAAAACAAACATTGCTGTCCCTAGGTTTTGCCGGATTCCACACAAAGAAGTTCGCTAAGTCTGTTTTGAATTATGTATTCATGGGAGGAAAAGATGTATAATAATAAGTCATTATGAGGACACTGCAAGGTATGCACTCAAACAGTACGCCGTCGCATGGACCTACGCTGCGCGTCGATCGATACTGCGCAGTTATCCTCGTAATAACCTCATGTTATTTCATGCATATTTTCTTAATGATGTTGATTGTCTAAAATGTTCATTTTTCAATATCTTTCGGTTGATATTTTCAAACCAACAGCCATCTCACTCGATGAGTGTAAATTCGTACTTTCGGATATATACAATTGTCATCGTTAGTGTCAGCTGAAACATCATTAAAAGTCCTCTGCATATTTTGAACAAAATAGTCCCTTCGCAAATGGAATGTTAATATGGCAGTTTCATTTGAAGAAACTGACCATAAATTAAAACAACCGTTGTACAGCATTGATTAATTGTGTAGCCTACGTAATGGCCAAGAGTAATTTAAATTAACCTTCAAAAACTGAATACCTGAAATCATCCTGCAAAAAAACATTCCTCCTGTGACCAGATTATTCTTATATAAATGAGCCAAAGTGACTTCTACGTTCTGGAAATGATAGGCTGCATGTGAAAGAATTATCAATCCGAACTTCCGCTTCTCTACCCTTTCCAAATATTCTTCAATAGTAGTGACTTGAAAGTCAAACTTGACATTTCCCCATTTCTTCTCATTATCTTTAGCCATTTTTTCAAACTTTCCAAGTTCGTCAGGAAGTGGATCCACAGCCGTGTAGCGGATCTTCGGGTACTTATTCAACAAGGTGTCTATAATGGGCTCGTCAACCATACCTTTAAAAGTAATTCATCATAGATAGCATAATAGCTACAATAACTGGCTTAATTTGTAATATATATCATAAAAGGGTGTTGGTGTGCTGATATCCAATTTATCTTTTTACGTTTAGTGTCCCACTTTTTAATTTTATTAATTATATAATTTGCATGATAATTTGTCAGCTTTTTTACAGGTATTCCACGAAGCACTTGACAAATTTCAGTGAACGTGATGCACTGAGAAACAAAATGTGTTTAGTAGTTATAATCCGTGCATAATAATTACCTAATGTACATATTTTTATAATATGCATTAGCTATTTTTTTAGCTTGATGATTAATAAAATACTGAACAAATTTCAGTACACAAACATATGTGAAAACCTCATTTATTCATTATGTAGAATCCGCACAAATCAATTAATAATTTGCATGATAATAATTATATTTTCAATTTTTCATCTGATGCCTCAAACACCACTCAATAGATAGCAAGAAATGTGATCTGAGGTAAGCCACGCGTACACATGATTACTTTAGGGTTGAAATATGTGCATACCAATTACCTAATTTGCATATATTTGTCAATAATTAGTGGTTTCATGAATATTCTCCCTGTCACTTTGACAACACTTTTGTCCGGGATAATCCAGTAACTAATTAGTTAAGGTAGCGAGACTATTATTTGTGTTGAAAATTCCGATTTTCACATTAATTTATTAATTGATGAAATGCACTATAAACTTTCATCTGACAAAGTCAACGTAACCTAGAATGTCGATTTTTTGAAGGGAAGCAAGGCAGCTTCAGTAGTGTTTTCCAAAATCAACGACACAGGTTTAATTTGTGTGCCTATAAATTTCAAAGATTAACTCAAGACAAATCAATGTTAGGATGTGTTATCAGTAGCTATCTGACACACAATGAGTGTTTCCAAACATTTGAGTGGTTTGTCTCCGCCCCTGTTTATTTCACAGATTAGTCATTTGCATATGAATGCGTCAGACACAAGGTCATACAGCCACTGAAAAAAATCATTGATTTTAGTGTTTTCATCTGCCGTTTTATCGAACTATAGCTATCCCATTCCTTTAATTTTGTGGGTTTCCAATAGCCTTACACATTTGGATGCCCCTACACATGTTAAAACAGACCTTGATGGGAAAACAAATCGCTTGTGCAGATAATCAAGGTAGAAAATCTTTGCTGTGACTTCATCGACGTTTTCTAGGAGTTTATGTTTTTCAAAATACAAGGTCTTTAACAAAAAATAACGTATACTTATTGTCGTTGGATTAACACCAAATTTTCACAGCTTTAAGGTGACAATGAGAGGAACTTGAATGTGTCCAGACAAACTATTTCATGGATTATTTACCAATGTGCTGTGGTTTGAGTTGGGGTCAATGCGACTAAAACAGAAATTAAAATTCAGGACACTATTTTTCAAAACGCGTTGCTTGAATAAAACTGATCAGACACATTCAATTTACCAGACTATTGAACAGCTAGGAAAAGTGAAAACAAAACTTATTATCACCAGCATAAATGCGTAATTATTTTTTTTACAAAAAAAAAGTAATTTTTCACTTTTGATTAAGTAACGCACCGTAGAATGCAGATACGGGCATGACAAACACACCTTTGAAAAGCTTGAAGTCTGGCGATTCCAAAAATATATACTTTCCTGGGTCTATTTGTAGTTGTTTGGTCCCAATTAGAAGATGAAAAAAAGTATGCAAATAATAGTCCCGCTACCTTAAGGGTTGAAATTACATACATATTAAATAAAATAAATATATTGTTAAATGTTGCAAGACTACGTAAAGAGAAAATTTCCCAACAGTTGTATAGCAAACAGTAACTCCAATGAAGACCATATATGAATGATACTGATTTGATACATGTGACATATTAATGATACTGATATGATACATGTGATATATGAATGATACTGATTTGATACATGTGATATATGAATGATACTGATATGATACATGTGATATATGAATGATACTGATTTGATACATGTGATATATGAATGATACTGATTTGATACATGTGATATATGAATGATACTGATTTGATACATGTGACATATTAATGATATTGATATGATATGATATATGTGATATATGAATGATACTGATATGATATATGCAATACATTAATGATAATGATATGATATATGTGATATATGAATGATACTGATATGATATATGAAATATATTATTGATAATGATATGATATGATATATGTGATATATGAACGATACTGATATGATATATGCGATATATTAATAATAATGATATATGTGATATATGAATTATACTGATATGATAAATGTGATATATGAATGATACTGATATGATATATGCGATATATTAATGATAATGATATGATATATGTGATATATGAATGATACTGATATGATAAATATGCTATATGAATGATACTGATATGATATATGCGATATATTAATGATAATGATATGATATATGTGATATATTAATGATACTGATTTGATACATGTGATATATGAATGATACTGATTTGAGACAAGTGATATATGAATGATACTGATATGATATATGCGATATATTAATGATAGTGATATGATATATGTGCTACAAGAATGATACTGATATGATATATGTGATATATGAATGATCCTGATATGATATATGTGATATATGAGTGACACTGGTATGATAAATGTGATATATGAATGATACTGATATGATATGATATACGCGATATATTAATGATAATGATATGATATATGTGATATATGAATGTTACTGATTTCATACATGTGATATATGAATGATACTGATTTGAGACATGTGATATATGAATGATACTGATATGATATACGCGATATATTAATGATAATGATATGATATATGTGATATATGAATGATACTGATATGATATATGTGATACATGAATGATACTGATATGATATATGTGATATATGAATGATAATGATATGATATATGCAATATATTAATGGTAATGATATGATATATGTGATATATGAATGATACTGATATGATATATGCGATATATTAATGATAATGATATGTGTGATATATGAATGATACTGATATGATAAATGTGCTACAAGAATGATACTGATATGATATATGCGACATATTAATGATAATGATATGATATATGTGATATATTAATGATACTGATTTGATACATGTGATATATGAATGATACTGATTTGAGCCAAGTGATATATGAATGATACTGATATGATATGTGCGATATATTAATGATAATGATATGATATATGTGATATATGAATGATGCTGATATGATACATGTGATATATGAATGATACTGATATGATATGATATATGTGATATATGAATGATACTGATATGATATACGCGATATATTAATGATATGATATATGTGATATATGAATGATACTGATATGATATGATATATGTGATATATGAATGATACTGATATGATATACGCGATATATTAATGATATGATATATGTGATATATGAATGATACTGATTTGATACATGTGATATATGAATGATACTGATTTGAGACATGTGATATATGAAGGATACTGATGTGATATATGCGATATATTAATGATTATGATGATATATGTGATATATGAATGATACTGATATGATATATGTGATATATGAATGATACTGTGATTATATATGTGATATATGAATGATACTGATATGATATATGTGATATTTGAATGATCCTGATATGATATATGTGATATATGAATGATACTGATATGATATACGCGATATATGAATGATACTGATATTATATGATATATGTGATATATGAATGATACTGATATGATATACGCGATATATTAATGATATGCTATATGTGATATATGAATGATACTGATTTGATACATGTGATATATGAATGATACTGATTTGAGACATGTGATATATGAATGATACTGATGTGATATATGCGATATATTAATGATCATGATGATATATGTGATATATCAATGATACTGATATGATATATGTGATATATGAATGATACTGAGATGATATATGTGATATATGAATGATATTGATATGATATATGTGATATACGAATGAAACTGATATGATATATGTGATATATGAATGATAATG